AAACAAAAGAAAAATTAAGGAAAAACGGGAATTTTTCTTCAAAATCTGTTATCGAGAAAATCAATTTTGGTTATTGGTGTAACTCTAAAACAAATGAATGTCTATACATGAAATTATCACTGGTTGTTTATATTTGTATTTTCTATACACGATAAAATTTTAGAAACATTATGATTTGTTTTGAACTGTTTAGGGACATTTTCAGTTTCCAATTTTATTAGTATTTTTTTTTTTTATGAATATCAGTAAAAATTTATTTGTTGAGTAAAAATACTTGAAAATTTAATACAAGGCTCCTACTATATTGTTACATTGACATTTTAAAAATATTAAAAATCCTTAGTCACAGTTTTTTTTATAAGCATTTAAAGTTCAAATCTTCACAGAATATGGAAAAATCACAAAATTAGCAAATTATTTTGAGTTAAGAATTCGTAAAAACTTTTCTTTTTATATCTAAGATTTTAAAATTTAATACAAGATTCCTTATAAGATTATCTACCTTTATCAAAAAAAAAATGTCTATAAAAAAGTCAAATTAAATTTTTATGAGCGTTTGAAATTCAAATTTTTACAACATTGGATATTCACTCGATTTCTCATGTAACGATTTCCTTATTTTGTTGTAATTCAAAAACGAATAACTGTAGATGCATAAAAATTTGCCTGAATGTTTGTATTAGCATTTCCTATACAACATACAATTTTGCAAATATTTTGATTCTTTTTGAGCTGTTTACGGACATTTTCAGTTTTCAATTTTTTTGTTTTTTTTTTCTATCAATAAAGTTTTATCTGTTGGGCCAAAAAGTGTAAAAATTTAATACAAGGCTAATGGTATATTGTTACAATATCAGTTGAAAAATATTAAAAATACATAGGCACAATTTTTTTTTATAAGCAATTAAAGATCAAATTTTGACAACATTTATCAAAATCTCGAAAATTATCAATCATTGTAATTAATAAATTATAAAATGTTCAGTTTTTATAGCTAAGGATTGCAAATTTAAAACAAAGGTTCTCATAAATAGTTCATACTGTAACCAAAAAATCTAAAAAATATATAAACCATATAACTGAAACCCAATTCTTTGGCTGAACTGACAATTAAAGATGAATGGGCACTTTACAAAAACGAACGGTTTTTGCTATATAATAACAAATTAAATTCCGATGACAGGATAATTATTTTTGCACTTGACGAAGGATTAAAATATTTAACTGAAGCACATACTTGGTATTGTGATGGTAATTTTTCGTTAAGTCCAGAGAACTTCCTGCAGTTATATGTTTTTCGAGTGAAAAAATATGATGTTTTTGTAACTGTAGTTTACTGTTTTCTTAAAAAAAAAATTATAGCACTTACAAAGAAGTTTTTAGCGTAATTCTAAAAGAATGTGACAATCGACAATTTTACCAGGATCCACAAATTATAAATTTAGATTTTGAACAAGATTACTATAAATGTCGCCCAGTGTGTTCTCGGCGAGCACGTCCGTATGACCGTATACAATGTTGTTTATATCACTTGTCTCAAAATACGTATCGCAAGATACAAGAAGTAGGATTACAAGCCAAATATAAAACGGATGATACATTAGGTCATTTTTTTGCTATGTTAGACGGGTTAGCATTTTTGCCAATGAATAAAGTTTACGACGGAATGCAATATTTAAAGACGGTTTGTACAGAAGAAGCTACAGAGGTTCTTGATTATTTCGATTCCACATATGTCAATGGTACATATAGAAAGTCAGGAAAAGGTATGGCTCTAAAATTAAAAAAAAAAATAAACCGCTATTTCCACCAGAAATATGGAACGTTCACAATTAATTATGAAACAATATTTTTTATGAAACAATAAATCAAACCGGATTTTTTTTCCGTATAATAATTTTCTTGTCGGACTTTTTTTCCGAAAAAAATTAAATTGGACTTTTTTCCGTGTACTTTTTTTCCGGCTTCCCTATAAAAGGGTATAACCACCCCATTGGTACATTATAGTACACAGCTATAATCTACCGATATTAAATACGGTGTTCTATAACTCTAATCTAGAAATAAATCTCAATATTCCCAATGATAGGGCCGATACGGGGAACAAAAATAAATATTGTTTATAGCTAAATGTTTATGGTATTTTTCTCGTAGAGTGGTAAAAATTAATATTAAATTAGTCAATTTGCATGTTTATTATAATTATTTTCAATCTTCATCACACAAGGTTCAGTACTTGATAAATGGTCCTAGGGCCCCAATACAGCAATACAGGAAGGGCCTACCGGGAAAATCCCGAATTCCCGGTGGGCCTATCCGACACTGGCTAACATAATATCATATACATTTTTTGTATAAAAATACAGCAATAATAAAAAAAAAGGAAAAAAATTCATAATACAAAACACAACCTAATAATGGAAAAAATAAATGAATAGGTACATTTGGTAACTAGGATTTGAATTTTGAAAGGAATTAATATGAACCCATGCTGATCGGCTTTTCGCTGATAAATTATTTAATTAAAAGTTGTTTTTGAATAAATCTGGTTTATCAAATCTATCCTAAGTGCACCTATATAATTGTATAGCTAATTGTAATTAATGCAATCTAAACAACCAGCAGCCACATCTTAATTGGTTGACGGAATATTACTTCAAGCGTGAAACTTAGCACCCTAAGTAGGAACTGTGTTTGCAGCTATTTTGAGTCGATAAAAAAAAATTTAATTAATTGAAAACATTAGGTAGGTACCTACTTTGCTTTATACACTATATATAAATATCAAACTTAAAAAAAGTTAAACGCTTATTTGATACATTCATTTAAACAATTTACTGTAGAAATATTACAATATATAAATAAACGATACTAGCCAGCACAGTATAATATCAATTTTATTTTATAAACGACATATTGTTAACTGTTTGTACGTCATAAATCATAATAATAACAAAAAAAATTATTAATAGGTATATACAGTATATACATATAGGTGTATAACGTCATTGAAGTTACTTCAGGTATTACTTATGTAGGTATATACAATAGTATATTGTGTGGCAATAAGGGCTGGAAGTGAGAAATTTTCACTAAAGACTGAAATTGTCTTCCCGCACGAGCCACACATACCTACTATTTTTTGTCACGCCTCTAGGTTCATCGATCACGGCAAGTCTACAAATGCACTATGCACTATGTAGGGATCTATGCAACAACCAGATCAAGGTGTATTGATAAGGTGTCGTCACTCTGGACCCCTATACACTCTTGATTGAAAATATTACCATAGTTCTATAGTCACCAGAGCGTGACTCTATAATGGCTTACAAGCAAGGATTAAGCAAATATCAAGTACAGCAGAATTTGTACCATGTTCAGCCCATTCTTTAAATTTAGTCGGAACATTTGCTGCGGAACTAACCAGCAAGGGAAATACATTCTTTTTGAGAGCTCAAAAGTTATATACTTTTTTTTCTGCGTCTACCTCGAGGTAGAATACTTTATCGAAAGAGTTAGGTGAAATTCCTAATGCTCAACTTCTAAAAAACTTATGTCCTACTCGTTGGTCATCACGGCACTCAGTTTGCAAATCAATTAAAAATGGATACCTATGTTGGAATTCTCGCTGCTTTAGAGATGTTTTATAATGATTCAAATCAACAAAATGCAGTTAAACATGAAGCCAAATCAATTTACAATAAAATCAAATCATTAAATTTTGTCTTTATTTTAGTTGTTTGGACCATAGGCGGAAATTTGCCATAATTTTAGAGGGGGCTAATATTTAAAAAATACTTTACTGCATATCAAAGCCTTTCTTAGCACTTGAAAATATAATATTACAGTAAACACCATCCAAAACTAAGCATGATTTATTTTAAACATACTATAAGTGTCAAACATTTACTCGTTCATATACTTGAATTTTAACTTTAAATATATAAGAAAGATAACATAAGTTATACAAATTTTAAAGAAAAACAAAATTATTAAATATTAATTTACAGTAACAACCTTGTTATCTAGTTATCAGGTATATTAAAATATTTATTTTAAAATAATATATCTACTTTTTTGCAAATGGACCAGTATGATTTCTCTATCAATTGTTTCGGAAATATCTTTTCTATACTAATGATACCTAAATTGTTGAATCTATTTTGCAATATAGATGACCTCAACCATGTTTTATTCTTTTCATTGCTGAAAAACTATATTCTCATATAGATGAACTTATGGGGAAAGTAAGTGAAACTGGTATAAGATTATATATGTTTGGTTTGGATATATAAATCATTAGGAAGTACCTACTGAAGTAAAATCTTCTAAACTAATACAGCTTTTGCCAGTTGAAAAATGTATATAGTTTTTCACAACGTACATTTCTGATTGAACACTTATACTTTTTAGATTTTACATCCAATAGCTCTTGACAATAAACAATTATCTTTCATATAGTAATAGCATAATAAGAATAACTTACAATATATAAAATAAATAAATTATAAAAATTCTATTTTGAACCCACAGGTAATAATATTTATTAATTCAGTAATATTCAAGTTTGATAGCAAGTTTTTATACTAAAATTACCTTATATAAACCTTATACAAAAATCACTCTTTTTAAAATCTAAGTTGATGAAATTGTCTACAGCTTCAGCCATTTGAAGACTATCAGTTGAAACTTGAAAACCTTTTCTTTAATTTAACAATTACATAATAACATAATATATTATAATAATATTCTGTGGTGGAACCATAACACCAGATTAAACTTTATCTACTTTAAATCTTATTACGCTATGAGCTTTGGTAATTGAACAGAAATACGAACACACCAGATATTTTTTCCAATTTTTTTTTTTTATTTGCGTTGCAACAATATTTAATTCAAAGTTAATATTTTACTTATATTATTTTTGAGGGGGCTAATTTTTCTGTTTGTTCGTTTTGCGGGGGCTAAGCCCCCTCAAGCCCCCCCCCCAATTTCCGCCTATGGTTTGGACGCCTCTTTTAGAAAGATTTGACAAAACTTCTAAAAGTCTCCAGTTAATTAATATTGATTTGTCATGTGTAGTTTCTCTATATGATTCATTAGTATGTTATATTCAAGAGCAAAGAAACAATTTTGAAATATTTTTAAGTGAAGCGATAAAAATAAGTGCCATAAATAAATTTTCTTGGGAGGAAACTAGAACTAAACGCAGAAATATATTTTTTGATGAAGAGCCTAGTGGTGAAGTTATATTTTCTAATACAGACAAAATGAAGAATGAAACTTTTATTCCTATAATGGATGCATTGATTTTTCAACTAAATAAAAGAAGCATTATATACAAAGCTATGTGACAAATTCGGATTTTTTTCTGATTTGGAAAATATTGAAGCAAGTGAACTACGTAAAAAAGCACTAAAGCTTGTGGAGTATTATGTTAATGATTTAGAAGTAGAATTTGTTCAATTTAAAAAGTATATAATACATTTTCCCAACGAAACCAAAAACATGTAAGGAATGTTAAAATACCTTAATAATAATCCATCATTAAACACAACTTTTCCTAATATTGAAATTGCTTTAAAAATATTTATTTGTATGCCATGTTCTAATGCGAATGGAGAAAGGTCCTTTTCTGTTTTGAAGAGAGTCAAAAACTATTTACGGTCATCATTATCAAATGAAAAAACATCAGCATTATCAATATTATGTATTGAAAATGAAATTGTCAAATGTCAAGAATATCAGTTGGACAAGTCTTGTCAAAAAATTCTCAAAACTTAAAGCTAGAAAAAAACATTTGCATGAAGTTATTTATAAAATCATTATTCACTACTATAGACTATACAGGGTGTTTCACGATGAACTGACAATTGTAATAACTTTTGTTCTACTGAATATTTTCAACTTTTTTTTTTTTTAAATTGTCAATTGTCGTCTGCGCTACATTTAAAATATTTTTCGATTTTTTTTTAATATTTCTTATGTAAAATTTAAAAATTTAAAAATTTACTATTTGATATTTGAAAAATTCAAGATAGCCATTTTGTAAATCCGATTTTTAGAAAAATGTCGGTGTCAAAAACTTTCACTAAGGTCCAGTCAATAATTTTTAAACAATTTTTAAAATTTGTTTAAATTCAAATTTATTTCCTTTTTATCAGTGTTACAGCAATATTATCGATTTTGAATTATTTTTTCCAAGAAATAACAAAATTTGTTATCACGAATAATCAACAAATATGATACCAGGGCGATTGCGCCTTGAACACGGTGTCCAGGTGGGAATGGTAAACAAGCAGACCCCACGTAGCGTATCCCGCCTATGTTCCGGTAAACAGTTTTTCAATACGGTTATAACATCATGTTGGTAACTTGGTGTACGGAAACAGTTTCAATGTTCAGACTTCAGATCATAATTCATAGGTGGTATAAGGTATTACAATATACACAATAAGTAATAACACATAACGTATGTATTACATAACGTATGTACGTGAACACGTGGTTCGTATTTCGTTTATTGATGTTTGTCAAAAAATGTTTGGTGTTAATTAGTGTTTGGGTTTTTAATTTATGCGTAATAATGTAATATCAATGTCAATTATAAGTATATAACATGATCATTGACTATTATTCAAAAATTAATGACCAGTGACCACCCACCAGTTACCACCACCATAATATGTGCTGGACCCTTAGATATAAAGTACTTTTTATCTATAATAACTGGACTTCAATGTTACTGTAATCATGTCAATCATGATCCATGGCAGTTATTCATCCAGCAAGTAAATTATATTACCTACTCAAGTATTCTTAAAAAAAAAACCTTACAGACAATTCAAGAGAATATGAAACAGTTTTTATTGCATTGTAAGCCAAGCAATTTAATGAGTGTTTATACATTAATGTTGAACCGTGACAATGTTGTATAATACACAAGTAATCTAAACTTAAAGAGATGTTTTTCAAAAATATCTCATGAACATTTTAAGGAATACCATCTACCTAGATGATAAAGTACTATGATAAAGGTATACTATTTTTTTTACATATTATTAATTATAATTAAATTATTGTATTTTAATGTCATAGGTAGTTTTATAAACTATTGTCCAACAGTACATACATTGGGGGCTATTGATTTGGTCCATTCCAGTAATGATAGTTATGTTTCATCAGTGAATAATATTATTTTCTCCAACTAACTTGTACTTGTGAATTGGATTTGAATTGGATTATCAGAGAATAATAGTAAAATACCATGTTAACTGTAAGTTGAATCATCTAACTTGTGACCTAGTACTTAATATGTATATTTTAATATTTTTAAGTTTTAATACCATTTCAGAACTTTGGTCATAGGACCTAGTATAGGACTAAGAATACAGAATATGATTGATAACTAATTGATACATTTTTATTGAATTAACTGTTGTGTTTCAATCATCACATGTATGGAGATTAAATATGTCAACATTTACGTATTCTATTTTCACAATTTATTATTTTAGTGCATATAAATTGCTATTACACTAAGTACAATTAATAACAACATCAACATTCTAAAATGTAAGTTAATTATTTAAATACTATTCATTTAATTTTAATATCTAAAAAAATAGGTTTTAATTATTTTTCAGGATATCAATTTTAATATTTGAAATAACTATGAATGTATTAATGGAATTATTAAAATTCAAAAATCAATACGTCATCATCATTGAACATTTTGTAAAATCAAGTAAAATTAATTTGTAGTTGTAGTTATAGTTATTTTTATAGTTTTTTTTTTTTAATGCAGTGTTGTAGTGATTAAGTATTTCTAATCTAAATAGTTGAATGGATGAATGTTGGTACTAAACTTAATTTATAACAAATTAATATTTTATGAAAAAAAGTATTTAGATAGGTATTTTTAATATTCACCTAGATTGTATGTATACATTTTTCCTATTAGTATTAATACTTGTGAATAAAATACCTACCTTTAATGTTACAAAATAATTCACAAATATTCAAAATTAAAATTAAAAAATTATTTTAAAATGCGTATTAAAGCATATTACATAATAATTTATTACCTATAAATAGTTTTACATGCTACCTTTTACACTTGAAAAAAATACCTCATTAATCCATGTTATTTTTGAGGTACAATAATAATACAAGCATTCTTTTTTCAGTTTAAGTAATATAATATGTACTTTATGCTTTGGGAATTATGGCTTTATTTATTTGATTTCTAAGTGAATTTTACATTTACACTAATACTCTGCTAATGCAATCCGTTAAGTAAATACTAATATTTGTTTAGTTTTTTGAATAAATATAGTCAAATACTCTCAAAAAATACAGAACTATATAAATTAAACTAAAAAAAGAATTCCTCAAAATAACACTATTTAAATTATAAATTACTTACTACCTACCTTAGATATCAGATATGATAATTAATCAGTACACAACCGAAATTAAATAAAATACTTTTTAGAATATATGTATTAATATTTATTTATTATAATAATTAATGGAGATGTTATTCCTAATTTTTATAAGTGCACTTTATAATGTATTGTAAATTGTAGTTAATGTTATTTTGTTATTGTTCAATAAATAAAATACTTAATATTACATACGCAGTTGTACTTAGTGAGCGTTTACCTTTGACACAATATGGACAATTATTGTCTGTTCGTGTTGGATCACAGATTTTATGTACAATATTTTGTTTAATGTACATTTCTATTATATGTTTGTTCAGTGCCGGCGCTAGGGGAGGACAAATGGGACATTTGTCCAGGGCCCCGCGCTTGTTAAAGGGCCCCGTGATTTTTAATTATCATCTTGATACGAATACCGTGGTCTACCGTCGTATATAGCATTATTCTGGCTGCAGCGGTCGCGTACTTAGATATTAAACAATTTATTATTTTATTCAAACATTTTGATGAATTAATTTATTTTTAATTGATGATTTTATGTAGTTGTTAAAATAAATGTAAATTAATAAAATAACCAGCCCTTATGAATTTATTAGCCTACGATTTTCCACTCAAAGGTTTAACTGAAACTCACGCTACGCCAATAATTCTGTGCTGAGCGAGGTTTCATCAGGAGGAATCGCACTCGAATGTGTTGTCTCCGTTTACTCAAGTAGGTAAGGTAAAGTGGGGTAAGTGTGACGCAAAAATGAAAAGTTAATTTTGAATTTGACAATACTTTTTTTGTTTTTAACTTAAAGTTGTTATTGTTCCATAATGTAACACCTCTAGATATACTTACATAATTGGAATTTATAGTCAACAAAGTTATATTATCACTCACCTAAGAATAATTTTTTTAAATTTTAAAACGTCACACTTGCCCCTTTTCTTGGGGCAAGTGCAAAATCGGATTGTTTTTGCTATTAGTATTACATAAAATTATATATGGGGCAAGTGAATAACAAAGATAAAAATAAGCTTTAATTTGATTTTTGTTTCATTAAAATATCTTGATTCATTAAGAATTGACAGAGCATTATTTAAATTTAATTATTTACCTATATTATATATAAAAACAGTACTTTTTTTAAAATCCTGATTTAAAAAAAAGCTAAAATTTTACTACTCTCTGAGAACCTAAAGGCTATTACCTATGACCAGGGCCCCGCAATACCTAGCGCCGGCACTGTGTTTGTTGAATATTTGTAATTATTTGGTTGACGTTGAAGTATGGCTTTTAGGTCCGGATTATCGATTACCGGATTACGTGATTACGGTATAATATCAATATTATGCGCATAGATAATACCACGGTCTTAGATGATAAGATAAGAATAAACTTATCAATCTCAGTGGCCCGTGATAAGTTGGATTTTTTCATGGAAAAATCCAGATAGTAAATACCTAAGTCAGATCAAATAAATCGCTTAGAAATAATATAAATTTGTGCAAACTTCAAAAAATTGTAGAAAACAAACGGCTGAACATTTTACATTTTTTTTTTTTGCGGACATATTTAAAAAATCATATCAACAAAATAGCTATTTTGAATTTTTCAAATATCAAACAGTAAATTTTTAAATTTTTAAATTTTACATATAAAATATTAAAAAAAAATCGAAAAATATTTTAAATGTAGCGCAGACGACAATTGACAATTTAAAAAAAAAAAAAGTTGAAAATATTCAGTAGAACAAAAGTTATTGCAATTGTCAGTTCATCGTGAAACACCCTGTAGTACTATAATAAAAAAAATGTGTTGTTATTCATGTTTTTATATATTTATTCTTACTACCCCCTAACCAAATTCATTGTTTATTAATTGAGTTGTTTTACTTGTTCATTTATTAATTATTATAATATAA